GGGAGGGGGTAGTGTTGGATGTACTAGCAGATTTAGGCTTCTTGCACGTTACTGATGTTTGAGCATCTGCTTTTTTAGATGTAATTTCAGGCATTCGTTTTGCGCTTATTTATGAGCATATTTGCTCGTATGGATGTACGCAATATATGGAAAACATATTAATGTTTATGCTCATATATACATATTTGCAGGCATTCGTGCGTACTGACCAAAAGGTCACATTGTAAATAATGGGCTACATTTTACATCAGTTAAAAAAAATGCTGTACTTGGCTTTTTCAACCTGCAGTGTGCAAGAGGCATTAGACTAAAGCTGATCTCCTGAATACTCTTTTTCAGCAGTTATAACAGTATTTTTTTTTACCTTTTTGGAAAAAGGTTTTTACATAAATGATTAAAAGCTAATCATTGTAAGCACCCCTTTCAAAGCTAAATGGTTTGCATCAACCCATCATCTGTGACTTTTGCTGGACAACCTGAACTTTAAAGGACGTTGAAAAATAACAGCAGAATGAACCCTTTTGCTGCAAGGCCCTGCGGTCCACTTTTCAACTCAACAGGTGCCAGACCATTTTTGTAATTTTTCCATTACTTTTTTATTTTTTCCTTGCAGCTTTCAGAGTTTGCAAAAGACCACCACACAATACATTTCCTGAAAGCACATGACCTGTAGAATAAAAAGGGGTGCTTCTGATTTTTAAGGCCCGTCAATATTTGCGCAAATGTATATCAAAACCATATTTTCACTAAAAAAATACACTAAAATCCTTATTATCAGATATAAACATAGCAAGTTTTACAAAATTCCTGCTAAATTCCTACTAAATATAAGATCTTAACCTGTATTGAGTTAATAAATCACAAATATTTGTAAATTTTAAATTTCGCCTTTTTGCGAAATGGTGAAAATCGAGCGTACGCAAAAATGTAAATAACCAAATTTCTCTAAAAATCTGGAGGTTATAATTTTCAATTACAGCTTTAAGATTTTTAAAAAGATCCCCCCAAGCCATATATTTTCTGAAAGCACATGATCAGTAGAATAAAAAGAAGGTGCTGCTGCTTTTTAAGGTGCCATGATATTTCTGCAGTTGTTTATCAAAACAATATTTTCGCTAAAAATATACTAAAATCCTTATCAGATACAAACACAGCAAATTTTACTAAATTCCTGCTAAATATAAAAGCTTAACCTGTATTGAGTTAATAAATAACAAATATTTGTACATTTTAAATTGCGCCTTTTGCGAAATGGTGAAAATCGAATGTACACAAACATTTTTCTAAAAATCTGGAGGTTTTAATTTTTCACCTACAGCTTTCAAACCATACATTTTCTGAAAGCACATGACCTGTAGGCCCCACCATAGCTGCGCAAATGCTTATGAAATCGTTTTTGTTTTTTTTCACAAAATAAAAACACTAAAATCCTTATTAACACACGTAAACACAACATAAATTACAAAATTCCTGCTAAATTCCTAGTGAGGCCTCATTCAATGTGGTGTGATAAAGCGTACGCCCTGTTTACCTGTGGGATGCACAGGTAGTCCTATTCATGTCAGTTAGGACGCAGCGGCTGCTAGGACAGATCTGACATCCGTGTGGGTATAGGTGCATGATCCCAAACGCAGACAATGTGAATTCAGGGACATGCATCCACATGGATATTAAGTTGGAAGCAGTGGCTATGTCCCAATTGATATGGATGGAACTGCCTGCACAGGAATGCACAGAACACCTGTGTATTCCCGTGTATCCGCTGTGTCACAGTTGACATCAATGGGACTGCCTGCATAGGGATGCACAAAACACCTGTGCATTCCTGTGCAGCTAGAAATCCCAGAGGACACCTCTACACACTGCTGATTTCCCTTTTCAGCAAACATTGCAATAAAAACACATATTGCAGTACATGTTTAAGCTGGCCAACTGCGTCAAAGTAATCCCTCTGTGGCCAGTCCTATTTTGCTCTGCCAACGCACATGCTACTGTACCAACCTGGGGCACACAGACACAAAGTGGGAGACCGCTACTAGGTTTAGATCTGGCTACTGATCTTCTATGCAACAAAAACAAGATATACCTGTGCTCAAATCCCAATAGCTTGTACACGCATTTATCTATCAGGTGCTAAAGGGGTGTAGCCACATATTAACACTAGAAATCCCAGAGGAACCCTCTGCACACTGCTAATTACCCCCTCCAGCAAAAGTTGCAATAAAAATAGGGATTTTTAGTTCACACATATTGCATAACATGTTTGCTGGCCATAGAGAGATTTACTTTACGCAACTGGCCAGCTTAACCGCTTGCCTATTGAGCACTTTTACCCCCTTCCTGCCCAGGCCAATTTTAAGCTTTCAGTGCTGTCGTATTTTTAATGACAATTGCGTGGTCATGCAACACTGTACCCATATGAAATTTTTATTATTTTTTTCCCACACAGATAGAGCTTTCTTTTGGTCATATTTAATTACCACTGGGTTTTTTATTTTTTGCACTATAAACAACTTTTTTCTTTCTTTGTTTCTATTATAAAATTTTGCAAAAACAGGTAATTTTTCTCCACTGATGTGCGTTGATGAGGCTGCACTGATAGGCTGCACTGATGAGGCGGCACTGGTCGGCACTGATGAGGTTGCACTGACATGCGGCAATGACGGGCACGGATTGGCAGCACTGACGGACACTGATGGGCACTTTTGGGGCTGCACGGATGATCAGGGCATTGACAATTAAGTGGAGAGCGTGTTGACATGGAACAGCTAAGAATCCAATGTCAAATGTAGTCATGAATGTAACTGAGTGCAGTGTGTTATGAGCAATATACAGAATATCTTACAAAAATACAGTGGTAAAGTTATTGAATCTTAGGTAAGAAAACAGGCCTAAAAAACTATGCTTTGAAGTTAAGGAAACTGGGGAGTCCATTTTTGTCATGAAGAAACAGCTACCTGTTTTCAGTTATCCTGGATCAGGGTAACTAAATCCAGGATAACTGAAAACAGTTATCCTGGATCATAGGAAGATAGAAAAAATGTGCCCAAGGCAATTGAGCACATGGAGCATAGGGGACTATGATTGGGTCTAATTTTTTTTTTTTTTTTTTTTTAACAAAACAGAGTGTTTTATTAACACCAAATGTAGAATACACTATATATACAAAGAACGACATGGTATAATGCCAAATCAATCTTCAGGTAGAAAAGAACAAAGAAAACATTAAACATAACCCATCCACCCATGTAGTACGGCGATTGGACAAACAATGATAGAACCTGCCATAGCTGATCTCGCACAGTCATATCAAAGAGGTACAACAAACTATTAATAAATTCCAAACTTTCATTATATTTAGAGGGATAGAATGGGGGGGAGGAAAGGGACAGAAATAGAGAATGGGTAGGGGAAAGAGAGAAGAGGGTGGTGCAGAAAAGTAAAGGACAGGAGGGACAGGAGTAGTACTGTCAGGAATGGACTGGCCAGCAATGGTGGGACTCACCTGCCTTTTGATCTGCAGTACCAGGGCTGGCCAGCGGGTGCTCCCAGCAATCAGAGACTCAACCTTTCAGCCAGCTAACACCTGGAACTGATGATGCTGGGGTATTTAAGGGATGGCCAGACCCACAGACTCTGCTTTGGTGTGTGTGTTTGTCCTGGGCCCTGTATCTGTCCTGCATCCTGTTTCTGTCCCTCTGCCTGACCCTCTGTACTACGCTGCTTGTTACCTGTTTTGATCCCTGGCTTGTGACCCTGACCATCCCTCTGCCTGACCCTCTGTACTACGCTGCTTGCTACCTGCTGAACCTGGCCTGTGACCCCGACCATTCTCCGCTTGCTCCCCCTGTACCTACCTGCCCAATTGATATTGACCCGGCCTGCCTGACGACGCTTGCTTGTATGTACTGTTATCTGTGGGTGATTGGTTGGGTTTGTTTGCACTGTATTATGTTTAGTATTGCACTGCGTTTATGTTTGTATGGTTAGTGTTAATAAATTGTATTGTTTATCACATATCTGAAGTCTGCGTTTCCCTGCATCAGTCACACACCTCTGGTCATACCTGGGAGCCCTGACATTACACCAAGGCCAATCCTGACCAGAAGTGGCTGCACAGGGAAGCCATCTTGGCTTGTTGATGGGAAGGATGGATCTGGATGAGGTTGAATATTTATATCTGCTAGTGTTTGATGACAGGGAGTATGCTTATCAAACTCTGAAGGAGTATACCCGGGATGAACTGCTAGAATGTATACGGCTCGCTCATGTTCTAGTAGATCAGGGCACAGAGTTCTCTGAGGTGCAGCCATTGATTGAGGTTTGTGCTGAGTTGGTTTCATCTGGTACCCCCGAATGCAGGGATGAATTTTTGCCACCATTTAGTGCAGACCAGGTAGAGTCCCTGGTGTGGTTATTAGAGGATGATGTGGGTTACTTTCTGGAGCGTTATTCCACATGTTCACCACAGACACTAAGAGATTGTATAAACGCAGTACAGTCATTGACCAGACAGGCTTTGTGTAAGCTCAGCTTTGTTCAACCCATACTGCAGACATGGACAGATTTGTTGCACCCAGCCTCAGTCAGCTTACAAAAATCCAGTCCTGCTTCTAATCTATTTCCTCAAAACTCTATTCCTGCATTCCTAACAGCTCCTCCTGCCCTGCTATCTACCGCATGTCAGTACCCTGTTCCCACTCGCTGCACCTATCCTGCCTTTAACCCTGTAAAAGAGCCCTCGTAGCAACTGCTCCCTCTCCTGTTCCATCCTCCAGTTCTTCTCTGTCTCCAGCTGCTCCATTCGTTTGCAGACCTGCAATTCTTTCTTTCGAAAATTCGAAAATTCTTTCCAACCAATACCATCCTGCCAGTATCCAAACCGGTGAGCCTGCCTTCCGTGGTTCAGCCTGAAGCCTCTACTCGGCCTGAAGCCTCTACTCGGCCTGAAGCCTCTACTCGGCCTGAAGCCTCTACTCGGCCTGAAGCCTCTACTCGGCCTGAAGCCTCTACTCGGCCTGAAGCCTCTACTCGGCCTGAAGCCTCTACTCAGCCGGACGCCGGCATTCAGCCTGATGCCTCTACCCAGCATGATGAACTGATCCAGCCTGACGATCCTATTAGGCCAGTTGACTCGATGCCCGCTGTTGATCCAGATGATCCGGTACCTGATCCGGTGCCCGCTGTCGAGCCAAATGACCTGATGCCTGGTGACCCAGTGCCCGCTGTCATACCTGGTGACCCGATGCTGCCCGCTGTCGAGCCAGACAATCCGGTACCTGATGACCCGGTGCTCACTGTCGTGCCTGTTGACTCGGAGCCCACTGCCTTGCCAGATGACGCGGTGCCCGCTGTCGAGCCAAATGACCTGATGCCTGGTGACCCGATGCCCGCTGTCCAGTCAGACGATCCAATGTCTGACCCAGTGCCCGCGGTCATACCAGTTGACTCGGAGCCCACTGCCTTGCCAGATGACGCGGTGCCCGCTGTCGAGCCAAATGACCTGATGCCTGGTGACCCAGTGCCCGCTGTCCAGCCAGACGATCCAATGTCTGACCCAGTGCCAGCGGTCATCCCAGTTGACTCGGAGCCCACGGTTGTGCCTGGTGACTCGGTGCCCGCCGCCCCGCCTGGGGGCCTGAGACCTGTCGTTCCGCCTGAGGGCCCGAGACCTGTCGCTCCTCCTGGGGGTCCGGCGCCCGCCGCTCCGCCTGAGGGCCCGAGACCTGTCGCTCCGCCTGGGGGTCCGGCGCCCGCCGCTCCGCCTGGGGGCCCGAGACCTGTCGCTCCGCCTGGGGGTCCGGCGCCCGCCGCTCCGCCTGAGGGCCCGAGACCTGTCGCTCCATCTGGGGGTCCGGCGCCCGCCGCTCCGCCTGGGGGCACGATGCCTGTCGCCCCGCCTGGGGGCACGATGCCTGTCGCCCCGCCTGGGGGCACGATGCCTGTTGCCCCGCCTGGGGGCCCGATGCCTGTCGCCCCTCCTGGGGCCCGATGCCTGTCGCCCCTCCGGGGGGCCCGATGCCTGTCGCCCCTCCTGGGGCCCGATGCCTGTCGCCCCTCCTGGGGGCCCGAAGCCTGTCGCCCCTCCTGGGGGCCCGAAGCCTGTCGCCCCTCCTGGGGGCCCGAAGCCTGTCGCCCCTCCTGGGGGCCCGAAGCCTGTCGCCCCTCCTGGGGGCCCGAAGCCTGTCGCCCCTCCTGGGGGCCCGAAGCCTGTCGCCCCTCCTGGGGGCCCGAAGCCTGTCGCCCCTCCTGGGGGCCCGAAGCCTGTCGCCCCTCCGCCCGGGGGCCCGGCGCCTGGCGCCCCTCCGCCCGGGGGCCCGGCGCCTGGCGCCCCGCCCGGGGGCCCGATGCCTGTCGCCCCGCCCGGGGGCCCGGTGCCTGCTGCCCCGCCCGGTGTGCCTCTGCCCGGAGTCCTGCCCGATGTGCCTCTGCCCGATGTGCCTCTGCCCGATGTGCCTCTGCCCGATGTGCCTCTGCCCGATGTGCCTCTGCCCGATGTGCCTCTGCCCGATGTGCCTCTGCCCGGAGTCCTGCCCGATGTGCCTCTGCCCGATGTGCCTCTGCCCGATGTGCCTCTGCCCGATGTGCCTCTGCCCGGTGTGCCTCTGCCCGGTGTGCCTCTGCTCGATGTGCCTCTGCTCCCCCTGACAAGTAAAATGCTGCAATCCACCCGATGTCCCCTTTTCGTAGGGATTTTTATTGATGGATACCAATGAGGGATAAGGGGAGGAGGGATCACTGATCGGATGTCCATGGAGCCCACACCTTATACTTCCAAGGGCAACCCCGGTTAATATACAGTAGGTAAGTTTGTACATTGGCAGAGCCGCATCCACCAGAGCCTCCCAGGCCGACAAGTCTGGAGGAGCTGATGAGGTCCATTTAAGCAATATCTCTTTTTTTAGCATAAAAAAATAAGTAGGAAATCAGAAGTTTAGCATGGTCTGATTGTTGGTCATCCTCATGGATACCCTGGGGGTCCGGCGCCCGCCGCTCCGCCTGGGGGCACGATGCCTGTCGCCCCGCCTGGGGGCACGATGCCTGTCGCCCCGCCTGGGGGCACGATGCCTGTCGCCCCGCCTGGGGGCACGATGCCTGTTGCCCCGCCTGGGGGCCCGATGCCTGTCGCCCCTCCTGGGGGCCCGATGCCTGCCTGTCGCCCCTCCGGGGGGCCCGATGCCTGTCGCCCCTCCTGGGGCCCGATGCCTGTCGCCCCTCCTGGGGGCCCGAAGCCTGTCGCCCCTCCTGGGGGCCCGAAGCCTGTCGCCCCTCCTGGGGGCCCGAAGCCTGTCGCCCCTCCTGGGGGCCCGAAGCCTGTCGCCCCTCCTGGGGGCCCGAAGCCTGTCGCCCCTCCTGGGGGCCCGAAGCCTGTCGCCCCTCCTGGGGGCCCGAAGCCTGTCGCCCCTCCGCCCGGGGGCCCGGCGCCTGGCGCCCCTCCGCCCGGGGGCCCGGCGCCTGGCGCCCCGCCCGGGGGCCCGATGCCTGTCGCCCCGCCCGGGGGCCCGGTGCCTGCTGCCCCGCCCGGTGTGCCTCTGCCCGGAGTCCTGCCCGATGTGCCTCTGCCCGATGTGCCTCTGCCCGATGTGCCTCTGCCCGATGTGCCTCTGCCCGATGTGCCTCTGCCCGATGTGCCTCTGCCCGATGTGCCTCTGCCCGGAGTCCTGCCCGATGTGCCTCTGCCCGATGTGCCTCTGCCCGATGTGCCTCTGCCCGATGTGCCTCTGCCCGGTGTGCCTCTGCCCGGTGTGCCTCTGCTCGATGTGCCTCTGCTCCCCCTGACAAGTAAAATGCTGCAATCCACCCGATGTCCCCTTTTCGTAGGGATTTTTTATTGATGGATACCAATGAGGGATAAGGGGAGGAGGGATCACTGATCGGATGTCCATGGAGCCCACACCTTATACTTCCAAGGGCAACCCGGTTAATATACAGTAGGTAAGTTTGTACATTGGCAGAGCCGCATCCACCAGAGCCTCCCAGGCCGACAAGTCTGGAGGAGCTGATGAGGTCCATTTAAGCAATATCTCTTTTTTTAGCATAAAAAAATAAGTAGGAAATCAGAAGTTTAGCATGGTCTGATTGTTGGTCATCCTCATGGATACCCAGTTGGCCTAAATCTAGATGACCTCACTGATGTCAAGCAGGACCTATGCAGAATTATAATCTGTATGAGTCTTTTCAATTTGTTGCTTCCAACAGTTCTTTCCAATCATTATGCAAACCTCCTACATCCCCTTCCCATTGTTATCTGGGTCGATAAGTCAGGATGATAAAGGAACATAGTACTTCCTTATGAGGGTTGTGGTATTATGGGAAGGAGAATCCAGTCCCACTATCTTCTGTATTTTCTGTTCACAAATTAAAGCAGGACCCCCTTTGGCTCCCGCTCACTCTGCTGAACAAAGCTTAGCTTTATACTCTCCAATGCTGAGGATAGCTAGTATGGGGTCTAAAAAACTCATATCAATCCCCTTAATGGATTAGTTTATCTGACGAATTCCAGTCTCCATGGATGGTCCCAGTGCGCTATAAATGTGCATTAAGGCAAACTATTTGCTCCAGCTAAGTAATAAGCACTTTTTTTCTTGTTCAGTATTTTTTTGGAGAATAAGGAACTGGATATACAGTCATGGCAGATAATGTACCACTTCGCCCAGAAAATTGTTGCAATTACAAATGTTTAGGCATTCTCATGTTATTTCTTTTGTTTGTATTGATATGACACAAAAAAGTGGAGAAACAAAAAGCCAGATCTGACACATTACACGCAAAACCCCAAAAATGGACTGGACAAAATTGGACCTTTTCAAAATTGAAATAATTGCATTCCAAGTTTGTGATGCTCCTGTAATTTGCATCCTGAGACGTTCTCAGCAATCTGCCAGCGTTGGGGAACTCTGCATGTGGATCTACTGACTTCCAGGTTCTACAACAAGTTGGACAGGTTGTGTCCAGGACAAGAGTCCCACTGGCAACAGGGGTAGATTCACTGGTAATACTTTAGGGACCAGTTCCCCCTAGTCTATGCCTAGAACTAGATATTGTATGCGTCTACGAAACCTCCGGGAGTCAATGAGATTGTATCGTATATTCCTCATGGTTGTTCTCAGAACTGTTGAGTGCCAGGAAGCTAGCTTCAAGGAGCTTCCATTGCAGGACCTAGAAATCTTATTTGCCTGGTGCGAAGCCAGGAAGTGGCACCCACGTAAATGTGTGATTGAAAGGTTTTTGTCTTTTTTCCAATCAGGAGGGGAAATTAAATTGTCTTTAAACACCATTAAGGGTCAGATTTTGGCTCTATGCTTTTTTTCCCAGAGAACTGCTTTGTTGTCTTCAGTGACTTACCTGGATACCATTACCTGCCTCATTAATCCAGCCTACAGCCAGCCCTTTTTGCTATTTTAGCAGCCTAGCTCATTTCCTCCTTGCACTTGCATGGTCTATGATCTCCAGCGTGTTCCTGCCTACAACTCGGTCTGGCTGACGTCTCCAAATCCTGTTTCTGATTTTTGGCTCCTGACTATGCTGACTTCTAGTTTCCTGTCTCTGGCTTGTCTGATAACCCACTCTGGCATCCAAACCCAGGCTTCTGTTTTGACTATCTTCCTGATGTATGTTATATTTGCGATTTCATGAAAGGTGTAATTTTAACTGTCCTTCTGTCTCTGCCTGGTTCCTGACATTACTCAAGGGCCATGAATTCAGAAGATGCAGGCAATCTACCTAGTCGCAATATATTTTCTAGGTTGGACAAACAGGACCACCGCCTGGATCAGTTTGCCATAGCAATATGAACATTCCTAATCCAAACTGCTCACCGGGATCTTCCCACCCAAGATGCTCCGGTACAACCAGTCTTGCAAGCCATCCCTGCAGCTGCTTCTATCTCAGTTCAGTTAGCCGCCTCTGATGTTACCAGCGCTTCCCCAGCTGTTTGGGGGAGATCCAGCTCACTGCAGAGGGTTTCTCAACTAGGTTGGAATACATTTTGTGTTGCTGCCCCAGGCGTTCCCTACGTATAGAAGCAAAGTAGGCTTTATTATTTCTTTGCTTTCTGACAAAGTCTTGGCTTGGGCAAAACCCTCTATAGGAAACACAAAAACGTGTTGTCCAGAATTACTCTGACTTTGTGGCCTCCTTTAAAAGGATATTTGATATTCCAGCTCGCTCCACTTCTGCTGCCAAGAGCCTCATGTCCATTAAACTGAACTGTTGCCCACTATACTACTGAATTCCGTACTTTGGCAGCAGAGGTTGGTTGGAACAATGAGGTTCTCATGGCTGATTTTTTCTCATGGCCTCTTTGACAACATTAAAGATGAGATTGCAGCTTGAGATATACCTAAGAATCCTGAGGAGTTGATTTTGTTTGCCATTCTCATTGATACCAGACTCCGAGAGAGACCTTCCTTTAAGGAGCACTTGCAGAACCCGCCTGTATGTTTGGCGCCGAGCTTTGCATTCTCACCCATGCCTCCCCCACCTCTCATGCTTCCTCCACCTCCCATACCTCCCTCACCTCCCATGCCTCCTGGGCCCGAGTCCTCAAGTGAAGTAGAGTCCATGCAGCTGGGCTTCACACTTCTCTCTGCCGAAGAGAGGGTCTTTAGGGGAAGTGAGGGATTG